AGGTATGCTCTAGTGGGCGGCTACCCCCTCACTCCCTGGCCTTTTGGTTAAGACTAAGTTTTATGTGCACTCGGGATAGCGTGGAAGAGCCGAAATCTCTAACCGTATCGTAAGCCGATTCGACGCCTCAGCTTCATAGAATGTCTCGGGGGAATCGTCCCATCTCTTTCATTTTTTTTTCAATTCRTATTTTTTTGTCAAGGGGGGTGCCATCTTATTCTGGCTGTTTGATAGAGGTTCGAGTCCCGCAGGAGTAAGTTTTTCTTTTTTCTTTGAATTTTCTTCTCTTTCCTTCCTTTTTGTTCTTTTTTTTTCCTTTTTTTTCATCAAATTCTTTCAATCCCTTTCTAGTGGCAATTAAAAAAGAGAGAGAAAATTTGATAATTTAATAGGTGACGTGACAACAGGACCACGAGGTAGTAATAAAGTTGATTGACAGGGYAATAAAACCTCCCATGAAAACATACGTTATATACAAGATTGATTTTCAGTTTATTGGTAATAGCATCTTATTATAATATACATACTAATGTCATGTCTTATTCTTTGATAATAAAAAAAAAATATTAAAAATAAAATTGCGCTTGCGGATTAATTTGGGGCATAGGATTCGTGCTGATCCTTCAAGTCAGGAGCCCATAGTAATAGGCAATGAGTTCCTGCTCAAATTTATTTTGTTTTTGGTTATTTATTATTATATTACGTTTTGTTGTTGTTGTTGTTGTCTCAATTTATCTCTAGTCACTGATGCAGTCTCTACAACCTCGCACTCAGACCATTATCCTTTGTCTATTGTTAGGCCTGAATAAAGTATAAAGTCCTGGGGACGAGATTGGTCTTCCTTTTCTTTCTCACTACGCGCCAATAAAAATGTAAGAGAATCTTCCGATACTTTGCCACATCAACTCATTACGAGTCTTGATATCTCAATCAATGACGTCGATTTGGCATTTCTTATTTATACGAAGCTATAATTAGCTGCCGTATATCCTCGATACTGTTCTATAAATGTTCACACTTGGGAATCACGTGTTTTGCCATTACTATATTCGTTATTTACAGTTTTTAGTTTGTTCTGACTGGACGAGCTACTTGACCTGGATCGAAATGACGATGCCAGATTAGACGATTTCCTGGTCAAWATCTTGATGAATGCGCGCCGAAAATCCACACTACGCCAGCAGTATATTACAGGGTTGCTTAGCGACGAGGTGAAGGTCAGGACTTTAACCAATGCATTCATGACATCTCTTTTAGACGAAAAGGATTCCGGGAAGCATTGGGGACATACCATTTGTAGAAAGTAATAAAAAGAAGAAGGAAACCAACACACGATAAACAAACCAATAACAATCATGATTGTGACGTTAGCTTTACGTTCTTTGCGTTCTTTGCGAACCTTTCTTTTATCGTTAGTAACAAGAGATCCTCGTAATGATCTCCGCTCACTTTTTATTCGTTGTAAATGAGTTCTTGCGATGAGGTATATGTACACGTAACAGATCATGATGAATAAGAACGGTATCAATACATTACTAACTATCACCATGATACTCCACSAACGGGTAGGGTTATAGGTGCACTCTTGGGTTTGCTTCCCTGGGAGGGGTATGAAAGGCAATAATGATACCACAGTACAATCAATCCATATTAAAACTAATGCCAGTACCACGCGCCTGCGAGTCACTATATTGACGTAGGCCAGCGGATTCTTGACAGCAATCAATCGGTCGATACTGATCACACACAGACTTAAAATGGATGCGTAGCCAGAGATGAAGTACGAGAACCGGAATGAATCACAAATAAACGTAGCAAAAGTYCCATGATAAACGAACTTCTTAGAAATATACGATGGCATAGCAATAATACCCGCCATTAAGTCCGCTACAGCCAAACTGAAGATGGAGTAGTAGGTGACGTTATGCAAATTAGGTCGAATATAAATAGCAATACAGACCAGTAGATTTCCAATTATGGTTCCCAAGGATTGTATAATCAATATAACAACAAGTGGTATGAATGGGCCTTGAATCTCGGACGAAGTTTCCTCATCTGACTTGTTCATCATCTAGGTAATCTACAAAACAACATAAATTAGATTAGTAGCCCACGCAACACCAACAAAAACAGCCAAAACAACAACGA